CAGCAGAGAAGCAGCCAACATCACCTACTAACTTGAATAAGGCTTTTAATTGCTGTCTCATGTAACTTTTTCTAGATTATATCATTTGGATAGAGGAGATACAAGCAGGCCAAACATTTTTCAGTGTACTTATTACTGATATGTTGCCATGTAGACAGGAATATAAAGAGCAGAGGGGACTCAGAAGCATGTTTTGATGTAATACTTTTCCATATTTTCATGAACAACTTGGAAGAGGGAAACAGAAAATGGTTATTAAACTTTTAGCTTGGTTTATAAGATCAGAGTTCAGAAATACCATGGCTAAAGAGGAAAAGATCTTTACTAAATACAGTGCCTACAAATGTAGAATTCTACATGCAGGATTTTATGTTGTTTTTGATCACTGTATTTGTTTTATTAGCAAGGCAGACACCTACTTCTTCCTAAAATTTAAGATAGAGTTAGCGTCTGTTAATGTGTGGGTAATTATAACATCTCCAGTAAATTCCTCAGTTTTCTTTTATCATAAGCATGTCCTTAACATGCCATAGAGTGGCACCAGATACAGAACAGAACAAAGTATCTAACTTGGCAGAACTATTTACAGTCTGCCAACCATAATCAGTCCCAGTACTGCACTTCATCTATAATGATGACCAATACAACTATTTGTTATGTCAGCCTTTTTTTGAACTTGCGCATTATCCAAGAGCGTATCATCAAAGTTGGACAACTTTTTGCATTTGTGCAAAATAAAGTGCTACTAATTGTAAGTGTAAGGACAGCTAAACACAATTATTGATAAATTAACAGCTACCTTTTGTTAGTGGGTAAAGCAGGGACTTGTCTCTGTTAAGCAAATGCTAGTCTTAGTGTAATTCACCCTATCCCTTCCATCTAAGCACTTCACTCTTGAAGTACTTAAAGCCTGAACAGCAATTAAAAAAAAATACACATATATATATATATAAATCCTTTGAGCACACCACAAACATTTTGTCAGAGTAACTATTATCTTACTTTCCTGATTCATCTGAGATAACACTAGAAATGCATTTAAAATATTATTTACCACAAGGAATGATGTTCAGTATGACATGATCAAAAAGAGCAATAGTGGGGTTACAAACTGTCTACACATGCTTGGTGTTTTTTTCTTTTTGTACAGTGAGTCTTTCAGAATGCTGTAAGGAACTTTCAAATTCTGCTGTTGGCATGCTTTGCTTCTTTGGCCTGGTAATATTTTTTCAGAGCTCGTAAAGTTTCTTGAGTAGTGTAATTATCATAGATCTACTTCAGCTGGTGTGGCAGCTGGCAGAGGCAGTCTGCTATTCCATGGCTTTATCAATTACATAAATCCTATATCTGCAGCGTGCCATCCATGTTTTAATCCACCTGTAGCACTGCATAGCTCACATGAGGTAGCAGCCAATTAAAAACGTAATGTTCTCAGTTAAATGATGATGTGCAGTAGGGCTGAATATGATGACTAGCACCATTAAGGTTATATTGCTCTGTCAAAATAAGACCAGCTCTGATGGCACTAAAACGGTCCCTGTGCCACTTTTTAGTTCCCTGGTGTTTAGTTACTGAAAATATTCAGCCCAAGGTGACCACCACCTCCTTAGCAGACTTGGTAGAAGCATTCCTAGGTTTGGTCACATACCTGCTTTGCACAAGAGCGGCTCTTTCCTGACTGCTGTGGACATGCACAAAAAACAGCAGAAATATCAGAGCAGCCTTTTGCCTCTTCTTACTTATCCAGTGGAAAGAAGCTGGGAGTGAAGCAACTGGGAAAGCTAGCAGATAAAAAGATATGCAAGTGACAACTGTATGTACTGAGACCCTGCTGGATGATTGGTTACATAAAATCGTTTGGCTTCTCAGATTGAGTCACACTGCCACAGGACTACTGCACTTCAAAGAATAATGCTTAGGCTTTCCTTCTGAGTTTCAAGGACAGCAACAGCGATTCTAGGAGAGCTCCATGGTAAGAAAGGAGATACTTTGTAAAGGAAAGGTGGACAGAAGTCAGAAAGGAGTCTTGAAAAAGACAGAATTTTTAAGGACAAATAAAAAGATAGGAAGAATTGAGTGGATGGTGCTATTGACAAAGGATAAGTGAAAAAATAAAGCGGATAGGCAGGACAGAGATGGGGGGATTGTGGAAAGGTTAAAAAAAAAAGTGAAAATGAGATAAAGGTAATGGAAAATAGATTGGAATGGCATATGGAATGAAAGCAAGAAGACTGATACACGCTTACAGTCATTATATAATATTTACCTTATTCCAAAATATAATTGCATCAGTTAACCAAAAGATGGGATGGAATGGGGGAATTACTGCTTTCACTCCTACAAGGGGAAAGTAAAAAAAATCCTCTGAGTAACTTCTGTGTGACGATAAACACAAAGGCTTTTTTGGCAGGTGAGATAAATGCCTTCATTTTCCCAGGTCCATTCACTCTTGTGAATATTGCAGGTATGATTACACCCTTACATATACTCATTGCAGACTGCTGAACAGCAATTACCTCTGCAGAGCTCCCAACATCCTGCTGAGAGATGTCCATTATAAAACATTTTTCCATACTGAGAGTGGTGTTATAAATCCTAATGAGCCCCTGCAAACCTTAGAAAGAACCCCCAACCATCTCTTGACCATCACCTCTTTTCATAGCGTAGATATAAGCATAGAACATTTTCTTTTAAGACTGAGAAGAACCACTAAAATTATTTTATGGACAATGATTCTCTTAAATAAGACAGGTGGCTCTAAGAAACAATCAGCATTTTTCTCTGTCAGGTTAAATCACTCTGAAATTCTTAATTACTCGTCAACTTGACACTCTTCTTCTGTTAGGCCTTAGAGATTTGTTCTCCTAACGGTAAAGTAGAAGCCAGCTATTTATATAAGTGATGCTGATGCTTACATAAAACAATGAAAATTGTGTGTTGTCTCATATCTCAGTAAGGTGTTTTGTTCTTTTTTAAGGAAGATCAGATATCAAGAGAAACACTGCTACTGCTGACATACCAAGGAGGGTACGTCAGTCATCTAATATGACTGAACTATGTAAAAACTGATCTCATGCTGCCCAGTAGGATATCCAGATGTACACTAAGAATCACTAGCAATAAAATAAAATGCATTGAATACAATAATAAAACTTCCTTGAAAACAGGAAAGCAGCCTTCATACAATGAGAATGGACAACAGAGGAATTAAAAAAACCCCACAACAATACAACAACAACAAACCACACAAACAACAACCACCTGCCAAAAGTACAACACTCAAAAAAACTAATGAACCTATAGGTTTTTTTGTCCTGTTTCTTCAAATTAGAAATATCTGTACATATATATTCAAGCAGCTGCCAAAAGCAGTAGAGACAAACTCAGTCTTAGCCAAGAACCAAATATATGTTGGACAACAAGAAAACAATATGACATATAACTAATAGAGATCATAAAGTAAAGCAAAATAAAACAATTGACTAATAAGTACTTCTGCATTCTGATTCAGGTAAAATTTGGTGCATGTTTTTAGTTGTTCACTGAAGGTCAAAACTTCAGCTGGTTTGACCAATCACACTATTATGATTCCATGTGTTTTCACTTTGAGTAATAAATAGAAAGTTTACTCTAAAAAGTAATGCCTCCTCTTTATTTCTATGGAAACTACAACAGATACGAAGAGCACAACAACACTATTTGGTAGAGCAAATTCTCAGCTACAAAACACTCTTTTTCAACAGAACCACCACCATTAGCTATGCACTTTTGCCAGCAATGAACAGTATTTATAAAGATGGAAAGTATGCCTTTGCTGCATATAAGAAAACATTATCTTATGCATTAGTATTCTTGTAGGACATAAACAAGATCAATCATAATTAAAAGATAATATTTTACATATTATTGCTACTGAAAAACATAAATACAAAAAAAAAAAAATCAGGAAATTTAACATTTTCTCATACTGAGATGACTGCTGAAACTTGTTCTGTCACTGTGAAATGCATCTGCTTCATTTAGCAGAACAAACATGAAAGTGAAATGTAATTTTCCGACAGCATGAAATTGTTTAGAAAACATTAGTATAGATCGTTGTTACTGCTCTACCATGTTGCATCTGCACAGGCAACACTTCCACCAAAGCTGATGTCTTGAACCATGAACATGTCTTCAGAGTTCATGCCCATGAACTGCGTTGGTATTGCCAGCAGAGCTGTAGTTTTTGTTATTTTCAAGCAGATCATCCAAGAGAGAAGATGCAGCATTTATAAAGTAACAGCAGGTATGAAAAATGTTTCTCTTTGTGTTATGCAGGAAACAATGATGGATCATGCACTGCGCACAATCTCCTACATTGCTGACATTGGTAACATTGTGGTTTTAATGGCACGACGCCGCATGCCGAGATCAGCTTCTCAAGACTGTATTGAAACAACACCTGGTGCCCAGGAAGGAAAGAAGCAGTATAAAATGATATGCCATGTCTTCGAATCAGAGGATGTAAGTAAACTGAATTAAACTCTATTCAAAAAATGAATCACTTGGAGAATGAAATTACATGTAATTTTTTGAATGAGTTTTTGTTGTCAGTAATTTTTTTCTGACTGAAGCTAGAGCTGATCTGGGGAAAAACAGTCCATATTCTTAAGCTTTCTGTCTCCAGTTATCTCAGTCAAATCAAATGATCATTGAATCATTTCTGTTCTTTCGGCAATGCTTCTCCATCTGCCTTAGTTACCTTGAGTTGTCTGACCTTCCATGGCTAAAATGAATTTATGAGACATGAAATAGATAATCCTAGATTAGATTCCCTAGTCCAGAAGATTGCCAGGTATGCAAGACTCCAAGTGGGAGGCAATGGGATGGAACCATTCTGGTTCTTTCAGACTGAAGCCAAGTTGCCAAGAACATCTACCAATTTGGCAGTTGTGGTACAAGATGCTTACTTACCTCTGGTTGGTACATGCACTCCTTCTCAAAGATGCAACTTGACACATTCAGTTAATTTTTTCAGTCCTCTTTTTTTTTCCCATCCCAAGCAAAGATAAAGAAATAGAAGCTTTTGAATAAATGCAGTGGAGCTAAGAAAGTCTCATTCTCTCTATTTGGAAAAATGTTTCTTCACAACCAAAAGAGTTCAGTAGTTCTTCAGCAAAAGGCTATAGTACGTAGGAAGAACTTCAACTATTGCTTCAGAACATCTGTGCAACAGAAAGGATAATTTCAGTCAAACTCTGAGATTCAATTCCACGACAGCCGTAAATACTAAGAAGTACTTTAAGAAAGAAATGGAGTGACTGCTTGAGAATTTAGGTTCTTTCGGTATTTCCGATGCAATTGAAAATTGGATGGATGTACTTGGAACCATTCTCAAAATAGGACTGCAGAACTAGTGGTTGCAGAAGAATTCTGTACATACCCGTTTCAGCCCTGTGAAAATTCATGGTGTGCTATGCCCTTATCTCTTATGGCAGAGGTAGATAACCTTGCTTTGTTGCCATCATCTGTCTAGGCATTGTTTTGTAGCTAAATAGAAGATACTCATGTCTAAAGCAGCAGACCTGAGGACTTCAATACATATGGCAAAAAATACCAAACCGTAAAAAAGAAGAGAGAAAATTTGTTATCTGTTTTTAATTGGAAAAGCTGAAATACAGGTATGAGTTATAGGCAGAACTAAACATTTCTGACCACCATTTTATAGCAACAGCTTTAAATATAATTTCTATTATACGAATTTAAATATATATATATCCCTTCAGTCATAATTACCAGGTTGCACAGTTTGTGAGCTAAGCAAACATTTTCTTTATTTTAAAGCAATTAAGCTTGTGAAGGAGAAATGGTGCTGTCAAAAGGTTGGAGCTCTAGACTGAAACTGTTCTCAGACCTACATCTGAGCTCTGAAACTGCTCTGCTGCAGTCATCTTTTCAAGAACTGAATTACATTATCTCTAAGCTGTGCACAATACTGAAGGCTTTCAAAAACATTCATAAAAATTTGCAAATGCAGATGAAATTGAAATGTAATTACTGTCTACTGCTAGCAATAAGAATATAACATCCAGGCATGTTAGTTTTGAGAAGGTGAGGAAAAAAGTAATGGGCAGGAAAAGAAAGCAATTACACTGGAGTTAGTAAGTTGATAAGGACTGGTGATAAACAAGTGATGGAATGAGACAGAAACATTCTTGATGACTTCTGCACAACTACAAACATCGTGGTATTGATGAATTATTCTTACAAGAGTTGAGATATTTTAAAATGTGAAGGAATAGGAAGTGACTGGCTACAGGCTAAACATACCCTTGTTTTCCAGTCATGTGGATTGGTGCTTTTGTGTACTTCACCACGTAATGTAGCATCAAAGAAGAAAGCACTGTTTCTCTGATAGGTAGAAAAGACTTAGACTTATGTTGTTGTCCAGAAAACCTTGTGCATCATACTGTACTTGGTATGGCCTACTGTCTAAGCAGCTGTGCTGCATTTCCAGAAGAGTTTTATAGTTTTCATTATGAGTATCTTTAGGGAGTTATATTCTTCAGATCACTGGGAGTAACATTACTCATATTCTCTAATGATAGATTACAGTTCCTGAAAATTACAAATACATAAACCCCAACTTGGCATTCCCCTGAAAGCCTGAGGGGAAGAAAAAAAAAAGACCCAAGTTCCTTTTACTTATCTCTGCCTTTTTCCCTGTGTTTCATTGCCACCTAGTGGAACCAGAAAGTAAATTTTATTGCAGTTCATTAGTGTCTTAATCTGTGTGCAGTAAGGTAAATATGCAAAGAAATCACTATCATTATCATCAATTTCTGTCAATTTCTTTCTAATGCATACGTATTCGGGCACATCTAAATATCTGTAACTGTAATGTTTGATTAACTGTACACACTATACAGCCCACTTTAATGGGAAGTCAGCTTATATTACATACTATAGTAAAATCCATACCCAGATAAATGCTAAAAAAAGTTAATAAAGATACAGGGGGTTTGGGGTAGTTAGCATGAGAAAGCTGTACTCATGGCTCTGGCTATGGTCTTGAAAGCATCTCTCACACTATTAGTGCAAAGGTGGTAACTGTAGATATCTAGTGGTCAAGCGGAGCTATTACTGGTTTGCTGGGAACATGAGATGTCACAGCAGTAATGGGAGAGCACACGTTTTTACTGAAGCAGTGTCTTCAGTTGTATAAAACTAAGATGGAAAAGCATCGGTGACACTACAGCCACAATCACTGCTTGTACACGTCCATGAAGTCATGTGAAAGCTTAGCAACAGCTCTCGTCACTCTTGTAAATACACTGTGGTGAAAAGCACAGCCTGTGACCGTGTTATTCTGAAAACTGTCCCTCACTGGTACAAGGCTTTTTTTTTTTTACTGGAGTTTGCAATTTGATTTTGGATATAAGGCACTTTTTCTATACAACTGACCTTAAAGTGATTTCATATACATACTAACATAGCAACTTCACAGGATTGTTTGACTTTGTCTTAAATCCAGTGTCTCGTATCTTATTGTTTCAGATCTTTCCCTCAGCTCTTTTTTTATTTTATATTACAGGCACAGCTGATAGCTCAGTCTATTGGTCAGGCTTTCAGCGTAGCTTACCAGGAGTTTTTAAGAGCCAATGGAATTAACCCTGAGGATCTCAGTCAGAAAGAGTACAGTGACATCATCAATACCCAGGAGATGTACAACGATGATCTCATACACTTTTCCAATTCAGAAAACTGCAAAGAGGTAAACTAGCTTTGGAATCTTCATTTCAGACTGATCTGTCTTTTTCAGATGAATGTAGTTCTCCTGGGAATTTCTTTGGCATTTTAAGGATGATTTAACATCTCAAGATGCATGGTTTCATCAGAACTGTGCTACTAAAGTCACTTTCAAAATTAAAAAAAAAATGTCCAGGTTCTTTCTGCTTCCACTGATCAAAACTGCTACCTCTGAACAAATGACCTCTGTGCTTGCACCATTTGATTATGACCTCTGTGCAGTACACCATGTAAAGTGCTTTCATGTTTTACCAATGTATTGACAGAGAGAGATGGCAATCTATTTTCATGCCCACTCTAAGATATTACTTTCTTGAGAGAGAAAAGAACCACATGTCCAGGATGCTGTGACACTGGGCATGCTAGTATCTCATCTAGTAGAACACAAGCAAAACTGTGACAAGAAATGGAGTTTAACACTTAAAATGCATAAAAAGGCAAGAATTTCCTTTAATTAGCCCTGAATTACTTAATTGTAACTCCTAACATTAACAAAATATTTCACACTTTACATTTCTCATGTAGGTCATTGCAGTACTGAGCATTCCAAACGAGAACATGTTAACTGTAATTGCACCTAAACTCTGCTCTTACCTTACACTGCTGGATTGTGATGGGGACTTGGTCTGTGTTCCAAAGGCAGAGTTCCCATGCTGAGTCCTAAAGCAACTTACTTTGATTTGAATTCCTATTTCCTAATCCTTCAGTCACAGTTTTCCTGCTTTCATCATTTTTTTTCTTAGCATTATAGAGTCTCATATGTGTGTTCTTGGAAAGAGAGCATTTTCCACCTGTACCTCCAGATAAGAGATGTTAGGATTTGATGTGCTATGTAACATGACTACACTCACTAGATATCAGTAAAGTGTTCTCATGTATTACATATAAACGTGACAAAGTATGTCTCCTGTAGCAGACAAGGGAACATTCAGTTGGAGAAGTAATCATTTAAGAATTGAAACATAAAAATGCAAGTATATAACATTTCAAAGTGATTAAAAGAGATAACTTTTTGTAGCACCTTTGTTTCTAACTGGCTTATTGAAGTTTGAACAGTGACAGAGTAGTGGCATAGTGGTTCAAAGCCTTGGCAGATGGCTTCAACAAGTGGCCTTTGTGATTCCTTTGAAGTACAGATTCTCTTGCCCTTGTTGCTTTTGAGTTCAGAAAGCTGATCTGACTGCAGAAGAGTTGTAAACTTTGCATAGTACAGGTTGTAGATACAACGTTTTTCATTTGGAAGAAATCAATTCCTATTAGTTTGTTAAAGAATATATTATCAACTTTTATTCCTCTTTATGATGCTATGATTACTGAACTGTTAACATCACCATATTTAAATATCAGCGCATCAGGAATCTGAGACTAACATGCTAGGCACAAGTGCATTCAGTAGTGTTAATGGTAATAATAAGCAGTGGGTCCTTGCCTGAAAATGAGGACAGGTTTGAGGGTGAAATCCTGAGATCAAGAGCAGACCTGCACTCTGATGGTAGAGGTGGAGCTGAACTCAGACTTGTGCTCCAGCCGCTGCCTTAGCCACAAAACACTGCAGCCTCCCATGATTGCTAGATTCCAAGCACATTGGCACTCATGCATTTGGTATTCAGTTTCACCATCTTCTGTAGTTAACATGAAATGTTAGGTTTTTTGTTTATAGTAAGGACATACCTTACCACCCAGAACAAGCAACTGGAAGCTGCCTGAAAAGCCCCTGAAAAGAAACAACTATGCTAAATACAGTTCTAACAGCCTTTTTGAAGTCATGCTACTATGCAGTGGCAAAAAATGGGATTATTTTTGTAATTTTTAGGTGTCAGTCAGGAACGACTGAGATGCCAGTGCCCAAATCTGGACAAATCAAAGGAAAAAGGGGTTTTTTTTCCTTTCTTCTTCTTCTTCTTTTTTTTTTTTTTTTTTTTAATTTTAAATTTTCTTTCTAATTGCAGCTCCAGCTAGAAAAACAAAAAGGAGAAATTCTTGGAGTAGTGATTGTGGAATCTGGATGGGGATCCATTCTACCCACTGTTATCCTGGCAAACATGATGAATGGAGGCCCTGCAGCCCGTTCAGGAAAACTAAGCATTGGCGACCAGATTATGTCTATTAATGGGACCAGTTTAGTTGGTCTACCTCTTGCAACATGCCAAGGGATCATAAAGGTACCCCAAACTTGCCTCTATAAGCTGTAGATTGTGAACTAGCAGAGATACGATACTCTGACAAGCAACCCTGTAGATGTTTAGCAGATGTGATTTTATGTATCACTATGAGAAATAAGGAATCTGTCACTAACAAAATGTAGACTTGGAAACAGAAGTTAAGGGGTGATAATGTACTGAAAGTTAGAGCTGGAAAATTTGGCTATACCTCTGTTATTGGACTGTACCAAACAAGGCCATGTATGAAAATCCTGTCCAGCATAATTATCTTTAAGTTTCATGCTTCCCCACAGACTCCAAATTAAAATCTGAGTATCAAAATCTACAATGCTGCTCTTGAGCTCAATGTAGATGAATTCATGGGAGGCTGAATGGGAACCTGGTAGACTGTAGGACAGACCAAGTAAATGTATGAAGATTCCTCAGACACAATGCAATCTCAGAATGCATTACCTTTAAGTACTGAGATGAAATCTAATATCTGTTCAAATATAACTAAGATCAGCAGCAGATTAATTAGCCAGATACTGGTAAAGGGCAGGCAGTAGTCAGTTTTAGTAATTCTTGACTTGAAAGATTTAATGGTAATTAAAGTTAAGGCTTTAATGGGCATTGCTGGGCCAAACAGCTTAGGAAATACAGTACTGTTAATGAAATAGAGACATGTATCTCCAGGTTAACAACAGACTTCTGTTAACTCCAGCTGTTGTCTCCCAAAACAACCATTTTACAGTCTTGCAATTAGGAAACTTAATGAAAGATCAAATTAAAATCTCTTTGAGAAATATCTTTTGGGATGTTTTACAGGGTCTCAAGAATCAGACACAAGTCAAACTGAACATTGTCAGCTGCCCTCCCGTCACTACTGTACTCATAAAACGGCCAGACTTGAAATACCAGCTGGGTTTCAGCGTACAGAATGGAATTGTAAGTTTCTGTGTTCAGCAGCTATGTTTTTCTGAAGAAGAAATACACTGAAATATTGAAAAATTCCTTTCACGTGCCCCTATCTCAAAATCTATAGATTTGGAGAACTTCTTCCTGGTTAGTGTGTAAGTTTGCAGGCACTTGCTGGGCCTGCTGCAGTAGACCTTCATGTTGTATTCATCTCAAGCTAGATGTGTATTGCATACATATTTATGGGCTGAAAATTATCTGAAAATTAAATTCACTGAAAATTATCATCAACTTCAATGATTTGTTAATTAGTTTTTGGAGGTTGGATATGTCCATGTTTGTCAATAGGTCAATACTGCCTTCACAAACAGTCAAATAGTCAATACTGCCTTCACAGCTTCTCTACTTGGAGATTCTACGCAGAATCAAAACAGTTGTTAAATCTATTTTGTATTTTTTTGTAATGAATTGCAGTTAACTCATATTGATATATACCTACATTCCAAGACCTCAGGTTTTATACTCTGATTTATTAATTAATCAAAACCTTACAATTAACTCTGATAACATATGGGAAATAAACAACACCAAAAGAAGTGCTGCTATAGTTCAGGTTGTTTGGTGCAATATCTGGATCAGCTAATATATACACGATTCTGGCATTAGTGTGCCTGAGTTGCAAGGAAAGCAGTAATACTGAAACAGATTTTTGCAATTCTAACTTCCTAATCTTAGCTCTGATCTTTTTTTTTTTTTCTTTCAGCACAGTCTCACTAAGGCTTTAATTTTTCTTCTACTGTGTAGAACTTATTTGGATTATACGGTAGTGGACTGCATCTTGAAAAGCAGACACAGGAATATAACTGTGACTGCCTCTGGTTAAAGCTAAGCCTCACTCACTACAAGTTTAAAAAAGAAAAAAGAAAAAGGAGTTGTGGCCTAAGTATCCCTTTCCCTTCTCTGCATGCAGAAGTTTCCCTGCAACCACAGTAAAACAGGAGAACAGGTGTGACAAGTAACACTCACCCACTGCAGCTCAGGGTTCTTTTCTCATAGCTCTTCTTGCCCAAGCCATTTTCTGGTACAAAGCAAACTTCCAGGGCACTGTTAGCTCAGGTAGCCACCCATTGTTTTTGAGGGCTGATACAGCATTAAGGACCGCCTGCAATGCAGGACCATCACCTTTTCCTCTTCTTTCAGTCTATAAAAATAAAATAAAATCAGGCTATCCACACAGAAAAGTGCATTAAAAAGGGACTGTGGGCTGTGGTTCCCTGTTCTGTGGAACTCATTGATTGAATTTGCCAGATTTGTTTGTCACCCTTGAAAAGAGTAGCAGGTCCCTGTTTATACTGTCTCTGAGATGTACTATGCTTTGGGAAGCAGGTGGCTCCTTAGTGGATTCTCAGCTATACCAACTATTGCTGAGAAATTATTATACTGAAATTTTACGTGTTCCTACCTAAGATCACATATTGCTGTGTGGTCACAGCAGGCTGGTGTGAACAACGTTACTACAAGGCTTTATCCAGCTGGAAATGTGATACCTCCCCCCAGGCTGATGTCCTTTAGAAGCAGGGGTTTAAAGTATCCCGTTTGGGATTAATACTCTGATACTTGAGTAGACAGAAGTCTACAAAAACGAAAATACAGGAAAATCAATCGTAGTATTTCTGTCCTCCTTTACACACCTTTAAACCTGTTTCACCTATATACATGTATGTTTAGAGGGTCTGGACAATACTGGCAGTGCACTCAGCATTAGCATTTCCCAAGTGTTGCGATCTGATTTTCCGAGATTCCACAGAGGATGCTGAGAGCAGCATATTGTGTGAGGCAGAGATTTATTTCCTAATTGCCATCCTTGAGAAGTCCAGTATGTACAGATGGTGCAATGATAAAAAGAGAAAATACATTTAAGGAACAATGAGCAGAACTACGGTGCATCTATCACCTCTTTTGGGAGGCCTGTCACAGTACTATCAGGGGTGGGTCAGGGCTGCAGGAAAAGAATCTGGCCAAGGCAGAGTAAAGGAAACATATGTCCTTGCAGGGTGCTAACAGTCCGAGAGACAATCAAACTGTCCCATCTGACCATCTCTTATACACTTGGAGCCTCACTCCTGCACACATTGGTTGTTTCCTTTCATGGTGTGTTCTCTCCATCTACTGGATGTTTGTTGTATTCACCACTACGGATGGTCACAAATCATTGTTTTTACATTAGTAACATTCAGATGACATCCAACAGGAAGTTTACCAAACTCAGCAGGAACCCTTCATAGAAAGCAAAGAAAGGCTTGTAAAATACATTCAATTTATGAAGCGTCTGTTTTTGGATATAAAAGCCAAAGAACAAAAAGAAGAGCTTAATATAAATACATTAAATATATAAAATAGCAACTTTGTTAGGCTGCTAAGTAGACTGGATTCTGGTGCTGTAATTTCTTGCTCAGATAAACATCTCCCTTACTTCAACTAACATTTGAAAATATGACTTTGCAAAGTATATTTTCCTGGTAGTTTAACACTTAACTTCTAAAAAACATTCTTCTAAATGTTAACAATTGTTATAAACATGATGGGAAACAACATCCTGATCTTTTGTTTGGCTTAGCATTAGCACAGTGAAAAAACAAGTAGCTTGCCAGATCAGGTATAATTAAATCTCTCCTACTGCTGTGCAATTACCTCATTATGCATGCATCTGGTGCTTACTTCTGTTCCTCTTCTGATAGCAGTTTTGTGGTAATTCCTTTTCAAGCTGCCTATCTCATCTATGCAGAATGTACAGCTATTGTCTTTGTGAATAGACCACAAACAACCTGAACATACAGAAGTAGTATTTGATCTGGGATTTGTTTTTGTAGGATATCAGGAAGATGCAGAGACTGGATTGCTGCAGGTGACTGCTTTAGTTTGTGTCTTCCGCATAGCCTAATTCATGTAAATCCTAACATGGTGCCTCAGGGAGCAATAGAGAAACTAGCTTTTGGAAGTTTTAGTTAGTGAACAGCACAACTGCACAAATCTAGTATTATATTTGCAGAATTGTTCTTGCATTAGTAATTGCAGATATTGCAGATATTCTGCATGGCTCTTGAAAGCTTCTGCAGTAGCTTCATTGAACACTTATAAAAGAAAACTGAAATTTGAACTTTAAAACATTAGGAAAAAAAACCAAAATATCGTGCATAGATATGAAACAAGTGGCAGAAATGTTGTGTGATGGGAAGGTGAATTAAAGCAACCTATCAGCCATCTTTTGAAAATTATTATGCCACATTTCTTGTAAAATTCATATTCAAACACAAATCGACTTTTCACACCACATCATTTTCTTGTTTCCTTCATTATGATAGAGCCACACTGCTAATAATCTACCACTTCTCAGCAAACTCTGGGATGCTCATTCACTTCCTCTGAGAAGTGTATCTACCCATCCCTCATCCAGCAGAATTCTATCTAAAACTACAGTAAGACTAGGTGAAAGTTAACCAAACTGATAAATAGTTCTTGCTTTCTTGCCTTTGTTTATACTTGTGTAAACTTTTAAAGGAAAAAAACATACAGGGCTTAAATAGAGAACTATAGGTATGAGATGATGAGAAACCTGGTTTAATAGGTTGTATTTAGGTATTTGCTCAGAGAAGACAATTTGTCTTGAACTGTCTTACAGTCAATATTTTGATACACAATGGGCAAAAACTGATGGGATTGAAGTTTCACATGGGATTCACTGCAACTTGCCTAAGACACTACAGAATACGTAACAGCTGAGTAGATTCAACTAGTATGGCTTACTTTATTTTTTTCTCTCTGTTTACGGAGTAAATAGAGCACAGGCTCTTGCTTACAAGATCCGGATCAGTTATGCCTTTTTTAATAATAGTTGCCATATTTCACGACTATGATGGCAAGGTAAACAGTCCTGGCTGAATCTCATTTACTTAAGGTACAGCTCACCTTAAACTTGCCAGCCAAATACATCTCACGTACGTGGGCTGGAGACTGAAGCCTCAAGCTGTTTTCATCAGTCACTCACAAATACAGGAGCCACATAAATCTGTGCTGAAAGTGCAGTGCATTTCCTTACATCTGCACTCTGCCTCTAGCACAGTGTGATCTGTGAAGTTAGTCAGAGCCACTTGAGATCTGCATCTGTTCCTTTTTCTACCTCATTAAAATATCTAATGCTTACAAAAAGGAAGCTGAATCCTCTCCCTGGAGAGGGACAATGTTCTTGAATAAGAGACCACTTCCTATGTCTGAGGCTGTTAGAAATTCACCCGTACTAAAAGCGTTTTGAGTGTCCCAGAAGAAAAAAAATGCTCTATATAGATACACAAGCCATTATCTTTCCCTTTATGCCAGTGGGGTTAAATGCAACATTTCCATTTGCTCTGAAAGCTTTTATTTCAGTTGGTTGTATGGCCTGTGTTATTTTATTTGATAAAATGTATGTATAGGGTTTCCTTTGGCACATTCTGCTCTTGTCCTGTCACACGGCTTCATACAATCCCCAAAAGCACTGAACAAATTTCAACAGTGAGTTAAATGAGAAGCTTTGTATAAGAGTCAGGTGAAGATCTGTGTAATGCAGCTTATCTTGTTAGGGCTACGATTAGAAGGTAGGCAACCTGTACAACAACGCACTGAAATTCAAGATGCCCATTCTGTGAAAGGTCTTGATGGTGCCTCTAATCATTAGAGTCCAGCAGAAGCAATTTCAGAGTCACTGTGGCCGAAGCTCAGCCACTCATTATAAAGTGGCTGCTGCAAGATAAGTATCACCGTAGGATAAACTTTTTCATAATGTTAAAGAAGGTGGGTTTTATTTGTTTGTTTGATAATAAATGAAGATCTATATATTTTCCTTCCTCATATTAGACACCCTGAATTTGAGTAAGGATTTCATTTCTCTGAGCACTGATATTTGCAAAGAGGACTTCGAGCAAAACTAGTAGTCAAACAGAAAAGATACTGTTCAACCACAGTGTTTTACCCTCATTTTATGCTAGCTTGTCCATCTTCCCACATACTATATTTGTTTCTGAATTAAATTATAAACTTGCTGAGACACAAGCCACATCTTATCATACTTGCATTTAGCCCAGAGCAAACTATAAGATCTCAACAAATAATTCTTGGCATATGATTATAACCATTGACAGTAGCTGCAGAAGCAGCCATCACTGGGTGCTATTCCTGTAGGACTCATTTCTTTTCCTCCAAGAACAGATTCTTCTCAGTAAGCAATAGGTACAGCACAGCACGGTGAGTTCTGCTCAATTTCACCTCCCTTATGTGCTGCATCAGCTTAGGTCTTCTGAAACAATTTAGCAGGGATATCCATCCAATGCACATCTGTCTAGACTGACAGGAAAGCCCCATCACAGCACAGATATTGCAGAGAAGACAGTTTTTTAATGAAGATCACCGTGCTGCATTAAGCTGTATTCCTTCTGCCTATACACAAAGCATTTTGTTACCTCAGAATCAATTCAAATATCAGTGACTGTTAAGATTATGCCTAATAAACAGAATTCTTACAGAATTATTTCCTATAATATTAGGCATAAAATTAAAAAAAAAAAAAAACAAAGAACTGTGCGTATGTCTTTATTGGTACCTGTGAACGCCAGTTGAAACAGTGGCCTGATCTGCCTTCTTTGTCCTAAACTCTCTCTATTCAGCAGCACTATAAAACATGGAGAAAAGCGGTGGCTCAGGAGGGCAGTGCCCTTTTCCAGCCTGCAGAGGTACAGAAAACAAGCTGTCATCGTTCACTATTCAATTAGTTTGCTGATAACAGCCTGTAATAAGAATGTGCTCATTTAAGACCCCGCTCCACCTTTCAGTACAGAACAGCTACACGTCGTCGTCCTTTCATTCAGCCTACATCAGTGTTTCCCCAGAATTAAGGATTGTGGATTAAGCTTTATGTCAGTTTTTTCCATGTACATGAAAAGTTTGCTGTTGTAAATCAATTTGTATTCTAGTTCTTTTTTACATCTGATTGTTCAGAAAGAACAATGTGGTAATTTCAGAAAGAGTCCAGGTGGTACAGTGAGAAATAGTTTTCAAAAGAATCACTTTCTTATCCCAACAGAACGTAAAACTTCTCTTTTCCCCATAACTCCACTTCTGCTGCTCCTGCCCTGCGGCTAGGTGCATCCTTGTACATGTTTACACATTCCAGACCAGAAGAATGAAAGTAAAAATGGTAATTTCCATAAATTTTGAAAAAAGTTAGACCACTGATACCTTGTAGTACTGCTCATTGCTTTCTGCTGGTATCTTCTGAAGTCCCTATGGTGTCGCCTCTCGGTATGGTGTACTAAATCCTATTAACTGCTATATTTTGACATTTCTAATCTTTAATAACTTTTGCTTTTTCTTGGCAGATTTGCAGCTTGATGCGAGGTGGAATAGCTGAGAGGGGAGGGGTTAGAGTGGGTCATCGTATTATTGAGATCAATGGACAGAGTGTTGTTGCAACTGCTCACGAGAAGATAGTACAAGCACTGTCTAACTCAGTGGGAGAGGTAAGAAAAGTATTAACTAAATAATCTTCAATTTTTACCAAAGACTTAAAACTTTCAAAAAAATCAGTTGAAAAATGTCTTAACATAGCATTAAAACCATCAACTCACTAGATTGGAGTTGAGCACTGATAGCAGTTAACAAAACATCTTTGAACACTTAGATGTACGTTCAGTTTTTACACCCACTTCAAGAGTGTGTGGCATGATTCTGAACCTCAGCCTGCTGTTTGAATTAAACCAGTCTGTTAAAGGAAGGAATCAATTAAGCACGTTAGCTATGTCTCTTAACTTCTGACTACCGCACCTGCTGTAAAAATAAATCAGTGTTCAAAGAGCTGAGATTAAAATTCATATGTATTTTAATTCACTCTGATGGAACATTTCCAACTTACCTTGGGAATAAGACATCTCTCTGCAGTACTTTTAGAGAAATCATCAAAGGATGAACAAGATCCTCTGGTTTACCAAAATCTACTCAATTTAGAATAGGATCATACACAACCCTGGCCAGATCTTCCACTACCTCCTCTGAAAAAAATCAGAGGTAACATCTTTTCCTGTGGAAAATGGTGCTTGAAAGAGAATTCAGAGTACATGCGGTCCATGCATGTTGGCAGAAACAAAGCCATGTAGATTTCAAGCTAACTTCCATGTCTTTGTGGTACCTCTGCTGCACAAAAGCTCTTTAAACACGAGAGCATTATGAAAGTTTTTTTTTCTTTTTTCAGCATGAAGAGACCAAGAGAACGAACAGTTAGTAAAGCACACAGTTCTTAGCCTCATATAGTCTGATAGCTGCTTTCTGGTGCTAGCAAGTTTCTGTACAACTGATTACCTGACACCCTCTGATGCTTACCACAGTTCTCTTTGTAAAAACAAATATGCTAGCTATGCAAGAACCTGGTTCCCGAATCTCTGGATTGGCATTTAATTATCAGGTGATAAAGATCAAATTTTGTGTTCAAACATTCATTGATCAGGAGAAAATACAAATAAAATGACCCTCAAATTTGGGAGCAAAGTTGAAGAAAATGCAAGTTCAGTTAACATTAGAGCAGCAGATTCAATTTTCAGAAAAGTTTGTGCTGCCTTTTTTCTTTAATGTCTGTAATTGGAGTAGAGTATAACAACAAAAAGTATTTAAACATCTTCTTAGCTATATGAGGGGACTTCCTGTCAGCTGTCACTGAAAAAATAAAATGCAGCAAAACAGCTTCTCACATCCAGAGAACGGATGAAATTTTGGTAACATTCACATCTGTAGGAACAAATGGGAGAGACAAACTGGGCCTTATGAATTACTTAAAACTAGTAGAAAGCAATTCTGTTAATTTTTGTGTAAATCAACCAACAGATTCATATGAAGACGATGCCAGCTGCCATGTTCAGGCTTCTAACTGGGCAAGAAACACCCCTATACATCTAGCATGCGACTCTTGCAGGAGAACGATTAAATGATTCCATCAAAGCCGAATGAATTAACGATTCCACCAAAGCCCTCATAGCTGAAGAGAATTTTGTATTTTGTACAAATGAAAGGCTTTGAAGCTGCCATGAGGACTCCGAAACAAGGAACAGACAGGTGTCTGTTTTTCCTCTCCTTTTTATTTCTTTGCCAAAAAGTGATGAGAAGGATGGTCAAGGACAATAATCACTGACACAAAATCTTTGTAAAGCATTGAAGTATTTTGCAACATCTTCTAAACTCTTTTCTCATATTTATTTGTAACCTTTATGTGGAGTGATGTATGTATGTCTGTCCTGTTTGATAACACGATGAATGTGAAAACTTGATGACTGAGACTACAACAAATGGCAAAGATAAGCAATTGAGAAAACTATGGCTAGGAAGCTATAAAAAAGAATCCCAGTCCATAAAGTGGTCCAAGAGCATTGTGTAATCTTAAAACTGGTGCTGAATAGATGGTATTTCAGTGGAAAGGAATGTGTGCAGTTAAACCTTTTAGATTCTAATGTAAAGAAAACCACTGTAGTACTTGGTATTGTTATGACAAGTGTAACCTGTTTGGCAAGGTGTGAACATAAACATGTAACAAGTGTTTCATATGCTAAATAAAGAATAATTGCCACAAGATAAAAATCAAAATATTTATTTAGATACATATTTATTTTTAATGCTTGTGATTTTTATGATTTAACTGAGTGATTTCATGGATGACTTATTGCACAGTTTGTGTAATGTATGTGTTGGGCTGTTTTTTTCTTTTAATTTTTGCATATTCTTTGTTAATATGAGCTCAAAATGGGAAAGCCATGCTTACCTGTTTTCTGTTGTTTTTTTTATAAAGCATTCTTATTTCTGGGGGCAATGTGTTCTGAATGTAAATTGTTTCAACAAATAACCTAGCACCATCAGCAGTACTGGAATGTGTGTAGATTTAAAAAAAATAGTAGTAAAGTTGTATTCTTTATGCGATAAATGTTAATTGGTGTAACTTTTTGTCTAGGTTTTTTTTTTTGGAGGGGAAGGGGGTTGAGGGTGCAGAGGGGGCAAAACCTTGAGGAAAATACACTGTGACTTAATAAGCCTTATCATGCAGTAACTAAAGGTCTTTAGATGACTGTACTTCAAGGAGTAGTGTTTTGCATGCAACTGACCTTAGGAAAGAATTAACCTATTATCACTAATAAATCTGAAGAAACAAAGAAAGCACGCTTATTTTGTTTGTTCCACAACTTTACATTGTAAAGAATTCAACTACCATTTAATTCTTCAACTAAGTGCAGTTGCAAAGGTCACAGATTGTTTTTTGAAGAGAATTTGTCTCTCTAATTAGTAATTAATGTATCATCTTTAGAGCTGCTGCTTTCCAATAGCATACCTTGTTGCCACTGGATGTCACTGTAAGTTCACATCAATATGGAAGCATGGTATACTTCCAAATGGATTATTCCATAAAAATTAAACTATTCATCTTCAGCTACATTCCTTTGTGACCTTTTCAAAGGACGTCAGCCCAGCTCAGAATGACACAAATGAAAGCAGTATATGACTAAACCTCAAACGGAAACTGTAATGCTACTGACAAGCACTGCTGCAAAAAAATTAAAACCCTGAAACATCAAAACTTGTGGTAGGTTCTTTATGAGAATCTTGTTGTTTGAGGCCTTTCCATTTTCCTCTGAGAGAGCCAGGATTAATCTTGCACCGGAAGAGCTGGTAGAGCTCTGTTTATGCTGGTAATCAAATTAGCGTCAACAATACTTACCTTTTTTTTCTTTTCCCTAAGATAATTCTAATAAAAATGCAGCAGAGCCACAAGGAAATGTTTTAGTAATACGAATGTTCAAACTACTAATTGGTATAACAATTCTTTTTGCAATTGTTCATGGCTCTGCTAGATAAAAATTCATCTTGTTTCTGATCACCTGATGTTTACAAGCTTAGAAAACCTTATAGGAAATGCAGAATTTCAGCAATTTCATTCTTCCCTAATGCACCTGTTGGCCACAATTCACAGAGTACCTAAAATGTCAGTTTTCAGTAGCATGTGCTACTCCACTAACAACCTCATGACCATTGAGAACAAAGTAAAAATAAACCACACCACAGCCTTCTGTATTATTTAAAGGGGCAACACATTGCAGAAGTTAAGAGGGAAAGAATAATACAGCAGATCAGTTAGCCTGGCATGAAAGACACAGGAAAAATGAATTAGAAGCAGCACTCTGTGCATATCAATCATCTTCACAGTTCTATCCAAATCAGTTGTTGAAAAAGCAAAGTCCAGAAATACTTTTTATTAAAACACTGATAGTAGTTAAAACACCTTGAGGTACATTAAATAAATACAACTTCTAAGTTGTACAGCCAGTCTGTGGTGGTTTTGCAGTGGTTTTGAAGAAATGCTAGACAGCATCAGCAGCATTTCTATAAGTACAGTGAACTATATGCATTTCTGGTCGGGAAAACATTTGTTATGAGTTTACTAATAAATCAGTTATTTTTTTTTTCAAAATTCAGGGCTGAAATTTACATTCAGAAAAACAGGTGTTCTCTTCCTGCTGTTGGAAAAAAAGTAGAATTCCAAAGGAAGACACTTCTTCCTTTTTAAGCCATCCACTACTCGCATTTCTCCCAGTCCTGGTTTCTTCCTTAATTCTCTCTGCTGGAATCACATACCTGTCAGTATTTTCAAAGGCTGGTCTCCTGGCAAACTCCAATTAAACTGCGAGGCCTGTCCCGCTCTAAACTGCGAGTGATACGGGACCTGCGTAAGAAGGCCGCTGGAGAGCTCAGAGCACCACAGCTCTGAAGATGAAGGTCTTCCTGAAGTCGCTTTCTAGAGGTATTCACACCCAGCTGGGAACTTGTAATTACCTGTTCAAAAGGGCAGGAATGGAGAGGGAAAAAGTGGAGACAACAGGGTAAACATTTTTTTCCATTTAAAAGGTTTGGCCTCTGAACATAACATAAGTCACCGAGTGCTGGAGCTCCACCAAAGAAGACGCGTGTTATGCACCCACCCAGAGTCTATCCCACCTCTGTTTTTACACCTGGTCATAGCTGGCTATTGGAAAGCAAAGTCAGACTTTAAAGGTATCAGGTGTTGCACCTGTACCACAGTATTAAATCAGCAAAGGAGCAAACAAATACTTGTTGCTCTGTATAGGAGTGGAAAGGAAACTGGTGGAAAAGAAGACAGTTCTGCTTTATAAGAAAAAAATGCAAGTCTGAAGTAAATTAAACTCATCTGTTTGTCTTAGGAGAAAGAGATGCTTTGGTGAAGGTGGGAAAGAACTAAAACCTTGCAAGCCTGATAAACATTTTGGAGTTAAAGAATGATCAGCCTGCTTCACAAATCTGAATTATACAGCCATTTCACCAAAATCCTGTCACTTACGTAGACTGCTGGGATGGCCTGGACTTTTATTAAAGAATGCTGTTTTCTGGCTGAAAAAATACCTTTCCTGAAATGATTTCTTTACTGTGAAAAAACCCCCACACATGTGACCCCTTGGAGCAAAGAGATGTGCACGGGGTAAAAACTGTGCTATGAGTTTCTAGTTTTATGAGCTACATAAACACTCGTGTTCCTTCACACTCTCCAGTTTTGTGAGAAATTATGGTGTTTTTTTTTTTAAATATATTGTTTTTGTTTTCAGCTTTCCAACCCTGAGGATTTAATGGTCTGCAAATATTGTAAAGAATAAAAATGTTAAAAGTTGATTCCATACTGTCACTCTAAGTATGTCATGGTAGTACTGCTTTTCTACTAATTTGACTTGAGTTAAATGATACAATGCTCCATCTTTGTTCTACTTCATAGTTAGCAAAAGGCAATCTTGCAGCAAGACTGCAAATGGTGCGTGCTTCCTGCTAAACTTCAAGCTACTTCACATGCAGTTTAAATGTTATTATATCCTGTTTAAATACTTAGCAAATTTACCCCATTTAGGGATCAGCAAACTAATGCCACACATATTAAGTATCTCAGAAGGTAAAACCAGCAGACCCAGGTGTCCACCCTTAATCATCAATTCACATCTGTGGAAAGTCTTCTGTCAACCTGAACACAGTCAGTCAGTGTCAGGAACAGTCTGCTTATCAAACCTAGCCAAATAAAAGGAATTTCATTTCTATTTCTATCACTGGTAACAGTACTATCAAGAGGTGATTTATCACCTTCCTTCCCCAAAAATGACTTATTATTAAACATGTATTAGATTATAAAAGTTGCTGCCTCTACTAATTCCTTTGTTTTATAATTCCTTCCAAGCCCTGCATCTGCTTTGCTCTATCTTGTGGTAAGAAGATGTACTATTCTTTCATTTGGAAAAGCACAAAATTATCAATTATTTTTCTTATAAATAGCAAGGATCATTGTCATTCTTCTAGCCAGGTTTAAGGATAACTGCAGTGTTCTGCTTCGATAGATTGTGGTTCTACTTGTTTATCCACTCTTTCTTTTCAGCTAGTAGCTTATGCTGTACAGACACAGCTGCCTGAAAAAAACAGACCCAAGTCAGTTGTCAGTTCCGGAATCCGTACCTCTATATATGAACACAAATGCATGCATGGAATAGTATGTCCCAGGTGTAAAAAGACCTTGGCAATAGCAAGTTATGATTACCAATGTGTAAAATCGCCCTGGAGATGGCGAGGGTATTACCAGCACTGGGTCTGGATGAAGAATTTTCAATACATTTATGACTTCCTCAGCGTGTAACACATTACCCCTTGATAAACGTTAGTTATTTCTTACTGAAGCCATGTTATTATAAAAGAACTTCTGTAATAATTCTTTGAAATATTTAAAAGTGTAAAAACATTTCCATATAGTATGTGTCTATCAGAGTCGAACAAATCTTTAGAACATTTGTGGCCTACCTGGTCTATAATATTGGCACTGAAGATGGCTTCTTCCATGTGTCTCTCATCAGATTTTATTACTGATCGTATACTGTTCACTACATGACGTACTTCTGGAGGGAGATTACAGTTTGAATGTTCCAAAAATTTTGCCACTAAAATTTTTGTATCTTTATAGGCCTTAAGGTCCACTAAAGAGTGTGGTCGTTCTTTTGAGACTGTTTGCAAAGCCTTTGGCTTTAAGTGTAGATCAATGTTCCTTGCATCCCTCTGTTTTCCAGTTGGTAGGAAACTGCTCAAAGAATGCTGACAAGCAGAGGCAGCCATATGAGAACCAGAAACAGGAACTAAAAAAGGGGGGGAAGAATATCTTTAAAGTAATAGTTTGATGATTTTTTAAAGAAGAAGAAAAAAAAGCAAGTCAAGAATTGCTACAAAAGGTTTTACTTAGTTTTTTTGGTGCTTTTTTTTTTTTCCTGGAGATAACAACACGTAATCAAGAAAACACTCCAAAAATGGGTAATTTTAACCAGAAGTTGGGTTACAATTTACTCTCATGAGCAAGAAAGACTGCATTTAGGTGAGTGAGGGTATAATTAAAGTACTTCATAGATTTCCAACATTTTTGTTACGTCTACTTTAATGGATTTCAGTTGAGATTAATGGTAAGGGGAAGCACCAACTGAGCAGTGTTATACATGTAATTTGCAGTGTTTTAGCTTGCCTGACTTTAAGAACCTAGTTCCCCTTCTTGTTAGACCTCACAAATAAGAACAGTGCACATGAGAGATCAGCAAGAAATAGAGATAGCAAAAACACTAAACGAAAATGGAGACTTCAGTCACAGCACTTGTGATTTGTGATCAAAGTCTGCTTCCAAAAAACTGCAACCAACTCTGTAACAGAATGAGAAAATTTTGCATGCACACCTCATGCTTGGGTGTGGGAACAATCAATTTTCCCTTTTCACAGTCTGCTGTGAGACAAACCCCATCACTACATTCAGCACAAAAACAGCACTCTGTCAGTAGGTGGGCTCTATGAACGCGTATAAATACGATTCCATCGGAGCTGTACATTGTGCATGTACTGAGCGGTTATTAAAGTGACTTTTACCTCACATTTCCTTGATCTTATTGTCTAGATCACAAGCTTATCTAATTACTTTTTTAAAAAGAAATCCACCTGCTTTAGAAAACTGATCTCACCTGTTTCTAATGTGGCTGAAGATCCTGCATCTTGATGCTGTCTACATATAGGACTCCAGGCACAATGATCACCTTTAAACAAAGAGCCAAAAAGAGCACAATCAAGCCCTGTTATCTGTTGAAAGCAAGGAAAAAATACATTTGGATCTTTTCTCGTTACCTTTCCTGAATGAATCTACTCAGATGAAACACTACTTGCAAAAAGTCCGTTCATGAAGAGGAGCTACTATGTACTGAAATGTCCTTTCAGTTATTAAACACAGACAGAAAAATACAGTTCCACGCTTGATGGTTTTCTCTCTTACGCAGCTCACATCCAACGTATTTCAGGCCTAGGTACTCAAGTTACAGAAGGCTCAGTGATTTCTAGGGGCAGAATTCAGACTGCACTGTATTTTCTTGGTGAACATAGTTTATCTTTAAAATAAAATAAACAAATAATGGAGAAACAGGAAAGATGAACCTTTTTTTTTCCCTATAAAAATAGTCTTTTGTTCAGATTTTTTTTTAAATGAATATATTTTCATTCTCTGAAGAACAACAAATGCTATCCACCACGGATTAAACTGATGGGTAGGCTGACCACTATGGTTACTGCTGATCCAATTAATAACAAATGGTTACAGAGCATCTGAACACAGCTCTAAACATAGTTGCCCTCTAATAAGAGTGTTTCTCTGATGCTAGCACAGATCAGTGACCACGGGATCACAATACACATCAGCACAGTCTTTGCGATCTCAAGCTTGTGACAATCAAGATGAAGTAAACTCTCCCATTTACGCTACGCCTATTTACATCTGTTTTCAGAATTGAGAACTATTTTAGACTTCTTAGCATAATAGAAGAGGTTTCCTTCCATTTCTTCTGGAAAAGCCTGTCATGAAAAGCTGGCATAATCCTCTCTGGCAGAGAGAGCAATTCAACAAAGGCAAACCTGCTACAAACACAGAGAAGTGGTGAGAAATTAAGACACTATTACATCTTTCATTTTCCTTCCCACTGCACACTGCACTGGAGTCATACAGATGGTTGTGAAACAGAGCACCAACTCAGCATGCACAGTAGGTGTACGCTTTCTTTTAGCCTCTCCTGACTCATACCATCACACATCTAAGGCTGCAAGCCACCTTAAGTGTGCTCCAAATCTTCCATGTCTGTCAGTGTTACTGGTGCCATACATTCACTGCTGCACAGGCTTCATCTTGCCAAAACTGCAATATTACATAATGTATGGCCCACAGAATTATAAGCATTTATTATATGTATCTACGTATTTAAAATCAAGCACAGAAGTATTAGAAGTATTACTAAGCATTTCAAAATTTTGGAATTAGAATCCATAGAGCAGCAGTCAGTTGTGAAAAATCTGGAAGCTGCCACAAGCAGCTGGTATGTGGTAAATTGTGCCTCTTCCAATCTGAGTGATTTCCAAATGATGGACAACAAAAGGTAAAGTGAGGAAGGTGAGCAAAGTAGTGAACAGTTTCAGACAAAAATTTTGGCAAATCCTATTATGCCAAAAATATTAATGAAATAAAGATGCAAATCAAATCTAAACTCAAATGCCTCTCAAACATTTCATTTTAAGGCATCTTCCACACACAGAGCAGCAACTAGGCCAACACAGACATGCAAGTTACTCCCATAATCCCCCTTTGCCACATGCGTATCAATATTTCTAGAATCATCTCTGCATTGTTATTAAAATCTTTGCTAAACCCAGTTAAATCTCTGTAATGTTCAACTCTTGTTCTCAGCTCATACTAGACTAGACTGGACTAGGAACTTGGAATCAAAGTAATTCCCATAAGGGTTAATTAAATAATGCCACTCCTCCAGAAGAGATGATGGATGTATTTAGGACATGTAAAAATAAAGGCAGAGCATCTGTTATGGCAGGTGTCCCAGAAGTCAGCTAGAGCACATAGATATGGCTGCCTACATTAATGTCTCTGTCAAACACTGCTCAAAGAGCATATGGAGCACAATATGGAAAACTTGCAGAGTGTAATCTAGAAGAGAAAGAGCTGTTCTTCTTGCGTTTGGCCCAGCAGAAAGGATTCTGAAATTCCTACTTGCTGTCTGCACAACAGCTTCATAGAACCTATATATCCTAGCAGATTAAGTTTCATAAAATAAGCACAGACTTCTAGATTAAAGATTTACATTTCCTTGACAGCATGCTGAGGCCAGATTTCTAAAGGTAGTTCAGTCAATTACTGAACTAGGTATGAGGTCTGTGAAATTCATAGGAAAACAATAATGATGCAGAAAAAAACCATAACAGAATCAACACTTCTATGTAAAACTAGCTATATCAGCATTTTGTGTACTTTGTTTTTTTTTGAGGTAGTCAGTTCTTCCCTTAGATGCCTTAGAAAACCCAGTGAATGCTTCTGTATCAGCACAACCTGCCTAACAGCTTACAAAGCCTTCATCTTTGCTTTCAAATCACTTCTCCATGTTAACCTCTCCAAACAGCTTATATCCCTTCATAAAACCCGTACTTCTCAAATGCCACTTCCACATTCCTGTTATTGTTTGATCAAACCACTCCCCACTAAATCAAACACATATTTTCCATTAACAAGCAGATTTTTATGAAGATACAGTGTTCAGCTAATAATTCCTCTCTTCTCCCTTACTTGTCTAAAAGGAGATTCTTAACAGATGCTTATTTTCAACAGTCACAAGCTCTCCTTCTCTTTCATCACCTTGCTGTATGCCTCATTTCTCCTTTCCTACTCTAAAACCTTTCACAATACAGTCCAATACAGTCACATTGTGACTGCATCTGCAATGCAACCATCCATGTCAGTGTCACCTTCAGGAAACACAGCCTGCTGTATTAAGAGCACGACAGCTCAATTAATCATTTCCCAAATAGACCACAGCAACTGTTCAACCACTTGGTTTAGTTTCTCAGTATAGCAGAAACAGAGCGGTGGAAGAATCTACTCAGGAGACGGCTTTCTGACAAATGCATAAAGGCTAGGACCTTTTTTCACAAATCAGAAAATCCAAAATTAACGTCACTGTCACTTTTTACCACTTCCGTTCTTACAAAACTTCAAATCTAGAAGCTGTGCATGGAGTTAAATTCCCCACAGGTAAGTCAACACAGGAAATTGTTTCCAATAACTTCCAGCAGCACCAATTGCATAAATCCAACAGCCCTCACTTGTTGCACACTCCATGGCCTCGCTGTACCACACGTACCTTCTAGATAAGACGAACAAGATACAGGATCACTGGTTGATCGGACAATATTTGAAATGCGGTGTTCTGTAACATGATGCTGCTGGACAGTACTATCAGAACTGCGTGCATATGATGAAGTATTTGCAGGCCCAAAACAGGGAGCGGTGTGGGAAGGGACAGAAGGCTGGCTAAAGACCCCACAGCAGATTTTCATTTGTTTCAAATGTGACGAGACACTGCCTTCTTGAGCAGTACTCTGCAGTTCTCTTTCTGAGGGGTTGAAATTCTTTGAGGAACAGTCTGAGGATCTGCCGTGGGCAGAGTTTTCATTTTCCTGTCCTTGAGACTTGTCCATAGAGATTCTGCTGTGCAAACTGACATCCTCATCAGGAAAACCTTCTGAGCGAGTTCTATTGAACCTACAGCGCGTGCTGCAGTCCAGACTGTTGCAGCTCTGGCCTGCAGCCCCTTTGCAGTTTGTACAGGAGAGAGAAAAATCTGAAGAACGGAGAGATCCTTGAACTTCCAGCGAACAAAGATCTTCAGAGGAGCAGCTGTGGTCTGGGATTTCAGCAGTTTCAGAGGTTATCAATGAGGTGCTCTCAACAGAAACTGCAAAAGAGGAGAGTCAGAAAAAAATAAAGGCTTCAAACGTCATCCTCCCCCCAGTTTCATCATACAGATGTTACAGATGAAAAGGTCCTCTTGTCCAAATAAGTATTTGGCTCTGCATTATTCCCAAATTCGTGACATCTACATTATAATTTTAATGCTATATTAAAAATGTGTCATGTGCACTACTCAAGCTACAGTAGTTGATTGGATCACTTATATTTGTGATAGGTCCCCTAATTTTTTTATTTTTATTTTTTTCAACATAATGACATTATTCTTTTTCAACATATTCTATATAGCTGAGAGTTTGAAATGCCCTCCACATCAACAAACACATTAAGGAGACCTCTTTTAGAAACTCTTAAACCTGCTGTGTGCTGCTACTCATCTACGTCATTCACACCTATTCTTCAGGCAGCAGGTTTCTTGTCCTGGCCTCTAGAAGCCATGCAGGAGGAAGCTATGTGGACAATCCGACTGGCAGCCCTTGCTGCTGACAATGAGAAGCAAACTGCTGGTTATATGCATGATTCTTCAAAAAGAAATGACAGTTGTTGCATCTGCCTCAGAGGCTTTAATCAAAGTGAGTACATTTCCAGGGTAGCTGTAAAGCACACTTTGTTAAAAATGACTCCTCTTTGATTTCCTCTGTGTTTCCAGCCGTATCTGTTTATGGCTAGGAAAAGGTTCTTCCATGAATAAGCTGGAAGCAAATACTTCTTTCTCCACTGGGAACGGCAGAAGAGAAGGAAAAGTCCACTCAGAAATTCAGCGCTCTCTCTCTTTCAATAATGCTATGATTACCTTGTGTGCTGAAGCCCAGAGTTGCATTCCTCTCACCCAAGCTTGATTCAGATACTTGCTGATCAGTACCAGTGACCTAAATGAAAGTTGTTTCATGAAACAGCACATCAATCTGCAGCTTACCAAAATGAAGTACAGTGCTAATAATCTGAACGATACATCTGGCAGCGTGAAATAACTACCTGTTGCTATTCAGATTGATATATTTTACGATGTCTTTGTGTCAGGAACCAACTCAGTGTAAAAGAACACACATGAAGCAATTTTTCACTTTTCTGGAGTCTACAGCTAAATTCATCTCGAATACATATACAGCTGCGGTTGCAGGCCCACATTACCAAACAAGTGTTTGTACTGCTAAGAACTAATGCTGCTATTTGGAACAAACTGAATACTGTGCATTTTTCCATATTATGCTTTTTTTCCCCACACATCACACAACATGGTATCACTCTAAAACAGGACGGCAAATAACAATCAATGATAAAAACAAGCATAGGAGATTTATTTTTCTCTAATGACTTTACAAGATGTTAACATCCACCGTATTTCTAAGCGCTCTAACAAAACTTAACCAAATTTGGCAAGGTAGGCTGCTCTCCAGCCTATCAGGGATTGCTTTTAGAGTCATCTTTTTCCTAAAGAACAGATCTGGGAAGTGGGTAACTTCCCTTCACTTACGAGAGTTATGAGAAGAAAACCCAGAACTGGCCCTGCTGATCCATAAACTTGATCCACAGACAACTAAAATTTAGAAAATTTTCTTTCTACTGATTTTAACAGAACCTTGCTGCCAACCTCTTTAGATTTTCAGCAGTTCTTTGTGATCATGATTGGTATTAGGAAAAAAAAAAAAGGTTCCAATAAACAGCTCGTAACTACATATGAAAAATACCCAAAGACAAAGAAAATGTGACTGAGACATTGATAATCATCTTCAGTAGAAAGCTGAAATCTAATCTACTTCTGTAAGGCCATAATTAACTAGTAAAAGCTCATTACTGATGATTACAGACTTAAGAAATAACCATCAATCGCTTCTTTGAAAACCTTTTAGTCAAGAGCTTAATTTGTATCTAGCCTTCTAAAAGGTTGAATGTGACACTATCACTCTGGACCTATTAAGAAAAGAGCTTCCAAGGCACATCAGTGTAGATCAATGCATATACACACCTAAATTACTGTGCCCACTCTTTGTTATGTATATATCCACACCTTAGTATGATCAAGTGGTCAAAAAAACACTTTCCAAATACAATTTTAAAAACAGCTTCTAAGAGTTTGCAAATATAATTTTTTTAGAAAGCATCAGAAACTTTTTACCTCACCACGACATGGACAGGGGACTTGGAAACAAAGAACAGGCAACATTAGTCATGTTTTTAAAAATACGCTTGCAGATTTTTTTGTATTTCTTCATGGAAGCAAATTTTTACATGGTAAAAAAAAAAATCTGTGGTGTCATTTTAAGTTGCAGACCAATTCTGGGAACTCACAGCGGAAGTGTTCTCCCCACTGCCTCAATCCAGCACAACAGTTTCATGTACGCAGAGTCTATTATTTTTTCACTGTAGTGGCATTTTAGAAACGTTCTGCTGCTTGTGCTGAAGTAACAGCCTTTTATCAACAAGGAGATTTGCAATAATTTCTATCCCCCCTCTACTCAGTTCTGGTGAGGCCGCACCTCAAGTATTGTGTTCAGTTTTGGGCCCCTCACTTCAAGAAAGATGCCTTGGAGCGTGTCCAGGGAAGGGCAACAAAATTGGTGAGGGGTCTGGAGCACAGGTCTATGAGGAGCGGCTGAGGGAGCTGGGATCGTTCAGTCTGGAGAAGAGGAGGCTCAGAGGAGACCTCATTGCACTGTACAGCTTCCTGAAGGAAGGCTGTGATGAGGAGGGGTTTGGCCTTTTCTCCCAGGCAACAAACAGGATCTGAGGAAATGGCCACAAGTTGTACCAGAGGAGGTTTAGATTGGACATAAGGAAGAATAAGGACATAAGGTTTAGGTTGGACATAAGGAAGAACTTTTTCTCTCAGTGAATGGTCAGGCACTGGAATGGCTGCCCAGGGAGGTGATGGAGTTACCGTCCCTGGCAGCGTTCGAGAGGCGTCTGGATGAGGAGCTATGAGACACGGGTTAGTTTGTGGTAGCAGTGGTGATGAGAAGACGGTTGGATTGGATGATCTTACAGGTCATTTCCAACCTTGTGATTCTATGACTCTAAGTTTACTGTCAAAAAATGGAAATTGTAGTTTTATTTTGAGATCACAAAATGCAAGAGCAACTTTACAGAAGAAAATGCAAGCTTGTGAAAAGAATGTTAAGTTTGGGAAATGTTTTGTCTAAAGCAAGAAATGCTCTTTGGTGCTGGACAAAATTTGATCAGAAAATAAATATATTTAATTTCTCTAACTAGATTTCTGATGAAATAATTTTTGTTTGCTAGGTTGCATCATAAATTCTTAATCACTGAACAAATAATATTGCACACAAGAATTTAATGAGTTTTAACAAAGCTAAGTGTGACGGGTTGCATGTGTGGGATGAGGCAATCTCAAGTACAAGTACAGGCTGGGAAAAGAATTCATTGAGAGCAGTTCAGCAGAGAAGGACTTGGGGGTCCTGACTTGATGACAAGCTGAACACAAGCCAGCAGTGTGCTTCTATAGCCCAGAAGGCCAATGATATCCTGGGCTGCATCAAAAGAGAAGTGATAGCAGGGAGAGGAAGGGGATTGTCTTTAGTGATGATGATTTTTAAGACTCCCTCCAACTAAGACATTCTATGAGTCTATGCTAATGCCTGCTGAGTAGCTGTGCTGAAATGTTTACTGACCTTCTACACTCTTAGTCACATGGCAGATGCAGTGACATTGTCTAGCACCTTCAACCTATAAAATCAGTTGTGCAAGGTTGAGGTTTTGGCATATCTCTACCAGAGAATAAGAACTCTCTGTAGCTTTGACCTAGTAAATCTAAAATAACTCCTATTTACACTTTATATGTATTCTGAATTGATTAATCTTCTTGCTTGAGCAAAGGAGAATCACGGTTTTAACTGTAGGAGGTAACAGTGGCTAATTTTAGTTAGGTCACAGTTGCATACAGATGGCAGGTGGGCTTACACAGTTTCCTGCACTGCATAGAGTAACAAAGATCAACTTGCACATCCTCAGACATAATGGTTGGCAAATTGTCACTAAGTTAACAACAGAAAAAAAGTGAGAAAAAACATGCTCTAAACAAATCTGTACAGCCTATAATCTAGTAAAGCTTACAAAATAGTCACTGGTATAATTTATCCAGGACCTTAATCTGTCTGTTCTTTACTACAGCCTCATCAATTCCTCCCATGGAAAATTGTTTGGAAAGCTTTTTTTTCATGGTCATAAAACCAGAATTCCTAATCAGTACAGATGACAACAGCAATTTTTGTTTAGATTCAACTGGTTAAATTAGCATTGACATTTATTGTGCATGAAATGCATGAGTACTGAATCTAATTTGATAGAATTTAATAAAACTCTAGGGAGTTCAATCCATCTAAAAACAAACAAAATCTATTGCTTGATGACCAGTAAGAGATTAATAATTATTGTCGCATAATGGCTCCCAGAAGCACTTCTGTAGCTAAAGCTCTGCTATGATTACCATTGCAAAGTCTGCCTAAGGGATTTATAAATCTAGTTATTTCAGTTCAGTTTGTCCTGTGGCTCGATGTATACTAGATGGGAACATCTGTACCACATAAGCACTTAGGACTACATTTGATTCGTCTTGAAGACCTAAACTGTCTTAGACTCTGGCTCTATTCCTTCATTTACAGATTGATTGGGACACTGTCTGCAAAAAATGTCAGAACTTATGCCATCAAGAAAAGCATACAAATACAAAGTTGCGGCACAGGCTTTAGTTAGCAATGCCAATGTATTTCACTCTTATACTCAGTTCCTGTTCTTATTTTGCTCCTACAAGCCACTACCAGGCATGAGTACGCTTACTGTGTATTTATCACCACTTAGAAATTTAAAATCACCAGACCTTACCATTGTGTGACAAACACTTCTGGAACTCAGGTAGCCTCAGATGAATAGGTGAGGTATTGACATGGATCCCAGACACCAAAAAATAGTTCATACGCCTTCACATCAAATCTAGTGCTCTCCTATAGCAAGAGCATGACTTTGCTACTTCAAATTAGTTCATTAGCTCATGTTATTGTGCTATTGGATGTTGAAGCGCATGCAAAGTGGATCTCAATTACAAAACTGCCCAAAGCAGTTTCGTGCTCAAGTACAGACCCTTCTTTAACCCTTAGTGAGCACCACATATGACTTCTTTTCACATATACGATTCTTCTCTTCCCCTCAATTCATCTGTAATCCATTACCATTTCTGTAAATTTTTAAAATTAATTTCTAAAAAACATCAGCTCCTCCAGGACTTGCAGGTTCCTCTGACTTACTCAAAGTCAAAACAATGGAATACTGGTAAAACACATTTTAGCCTTGGAAACTCCAATTTTGCTGTTCAGCAAAAATCTTGAAAGCAGCTTATATAGGTTCATTTCATGTAAGCTTGTATATTTTAACAGACAGTGAAGGGCACGATAGAACGAAAGAAATGGAGAAGTTGTCAGAAACTGCTTTGTCAGTAAAAGCAGCAGCAAAATTAGGCGTATCTAGAGCTTTTAAAATTGTACTCTGGTCAGGGACTGTGCAAATAAACTGTTTATTCCTCAGACACTTTGTGAATAGTTCTACTAATATTTTGCATGTAACTGTGTTGGTTTTCTTTGCTGTTGTTTGTTTTTGTGCTTTTTGTTGTGGTGGGTTTCCCAGTGTGAAAAAATCACTAGCAACTTCTCCAATTACATATTTAGGGGAAACGCCACTGATGTCCAATAAGCAACATCAAGATTGTTTGATTCCTTGAGTTTTTAGTGAATTCTGCTGTAAATTAGAGTTTATAAAAACAAATATAATTATGTAGAAGGCCATTCTAGACTATTCAATTATGACAAGTCACTTGAAAGAAAATTTTGCTCCAATTAGCTTTGCTTGCATCTAAATATACTACGATTCTAGTTTCATTAGAGCTGACACTGTATAGCAAAACACAAGGCAAAACATATAATGCATTTGTCTGAAATACAGTAGATCTTTTCTCATAGTTCCAATAAAGCTGTTTTATACTCTAAGGAGTATTTAGATTATTTTCACTAATATTTCACACCATGAAAATCTGGAGACTGTAGTAAATTCCCTTCAGCTTGCCTTACCTGACTGGCAGGTGTTTCTCCAATCACTGCCTCATAAGGAGGTGGCAGCTCAGTTGGATACAGCATTCCTGGGCTGTTAATGGTGACTTCATATAAAGCACTGAATGGAGAATGAGGAAATTCCAAATGGAGACTTCTGCTTAAAAACACAAACAAGGAAACTTAACTACTAGGAAATTACATTAGATCTGTTTGGCATACTAATATCTGTACCACAATGATGTAGACCTTTCTCTGAATTCAAAGCTAATACAGTACAAAGAATCAACTGAAGCAATTTATAAGACAGCCAAAACAAAACCTTCATTCACCTCCTAGCATTAAAAACTGTTTCATTTTGGATACCAGCCATCTGTCCTAGTCCATTTCTGTCACTAATGCCTTTCATTACTCCACAATAAAGCACATACAGAGCAATATTTCCTAAGAAAATTAAATCTCACATTCAACCTCAAGTGTACAATGTTAACTGTAAAAGGATTACCTATAAGCTCATTTTCCTTTAAGTTATCCTTGACTGTTTATTGTTATCCTTGTCTTTGCTAAGTTCAATCACTTCCGTATCACAGCAGTGCTTTAACAAAAATATTTCCACGTGTGTTCTAACAAGTCTGCAAAATATGTACATAATCTCTCAGGAAAAGCAGCAGCTAATGTAAGTGAAAGGCATTACTTTCCTTCTTATTTTTTTAAGCAGTTTCATAGTCTGTAGCTAAGAACTATGGAATAACTAACTACAGGAAAGAAGAATCACCTCTGTGCCTCTACCACAGGTGTGCAGGTATATTCGGGTGGGTAGTAGGGTGGAGGTGGTATTGGTGGGATGAACTCATCAAAATCCAAAGTTTGATGCAGAACTGTCCCATGTGGAGTCATGCAGTCTGCATTGGCAGAATGTGGCCGCTGCGGCAGAAACTGAAAATGAATAGGTAAAGTTCCTTCAGATGGTAGGAAAATAAAGCCATTTCCAATAGTAAGAATTGCAATGAAAGGTCAATTTTAGCAATTCTAACCAATACCCTATTTCATGAATATCCATACAGAAATGGTAGACACTTCTGGAAGCAAAAAAGTATATGTAAGATCTGCAAGGACTGAGAGTCAAATTACTATAATATAAAGCAAGGTTATACCAAAGACAAAGACATATCTACCTCAAAGCCAATTATTCCTATGGTGGAAAGCACAGGTATTTCAATTTAAATAACATTTCAAGAACCAATCCTATCTTGTAGTACAATTTTATTGTTACACTACGCAGCCAGCTGTATTTTAATAATCAACATAAATAGAACTAGTAAAATAACTATTTGCATAGTTTTGCTTCTAATCTGAAAAGCCTTGTGCTTAAGACAATACCAAACAAACCTTCAAATAAAACAAACTAGAAATTCACGGCTACATATTTATTTGATTTTGACTATGGCCAGTCTGTTTTTCACTAAAGAAAAGCAGCAGTTAGAACTGTTCTTTATTATATTTATAAAAAATTCTTAATAAACATTTATAGTTTGGTGATATAGACAGTGCACACATGCTAAATAAAGGTTTAAAATACTGGTATGAACATAAGCAAAACATTTATTCTACCTGAACATCTCAAAACTAGAAAAAGAACGACAACATAATGAATAATGAGAAGTGATAACACTGTGAAGTACTGTCAGTGTTCGTGATAAGAAATGAATCAGCTTCTACCATGGCAGTGACATCAAGACCTTTCTGAGACTGACAGTAGGAAGTTTAAAAAAACCCTCTCTCAAAGTCTTAAACTACTTCAAGATCAAATACAGACCATTCTGCAGACCACATGGAACCCAGAGGCCTTGGCCTGGCTTTATATGGTTGCCATGGAGAAAGGGGAAATTACAATAAAAATGATAGATTTCTTCCTTCTTCAGACAAGATGCTCTTTTTGCTGTCATGCCACTATTTTGTATCAGTAGGTAACCTGATCTTCAAGAAAGTAGGCTAGAGGCTCATTTCTCTTTTAACATTGAAATTTGTGAACTGCTGTCTCATTACATCATTACTATTTTTCAGATAAATGAAAAAGCACTTTTGTAAAAATGACAATACTAATGCTTCAGAGATCCCATAAAAAGTAATTTATTTCATTTTTAATGTCAGTTTCATATTTTTTGAACTTTTCCAGAAAAATTCTCATTGTCAGTTATTCTTGCTTAAGAATAACTGTACAAGTGATGTTGGTCTTTGGTATTTAGAAGGCTGGGCTACATCTTACTTCCACCAAACACAATCTCTGCATGTTGCTTCAAAGGTTGTATTTTTAATGCAACAAAACAGAGAGCTGGAAAGGACCTATTTCAATTGCATGGGAAAATGAACTAGTAGCTGCTTAGTAATTGGATCTCTAGAGGCATTTTCACAATTAGTAAATTCAGAATTTCCTCTGCAGAACACTTTATATTATGTCCAATAACCAACGACTCAGACATCGTATTCTACTAATGTTACAGCAATAAGAGACATCTACTTCATTCACTCCTCCATTATTATAACATGTCTAATGCTTTTAAACCCATGAGATGTGACACTGTTGTTTTGAGTATAACCAGACACTTCTACAGGTTTCTCATACAGAATAAAGAAAAATTTTATAGTAATTCAGTTTAAATTCACCTGATCTTTCTACATCTATTTCCCAAAATCTGACATTCCATTAACTGATGAACACCAAACCTATGTGATATGATCATCAGTTTGTTATCACATAAACACATAACACTGAAGAATCTGATAGGAAGAAAGGAAACAAAAGGTAGAGATGAAATACTGATCTACTGCCAGCAAAAAAAAAAAAAAAAAAAAAAAAGCAAAACAAAAACCCTTAGAAGTCTCTTCCAGAAAATAAAGAAAGACTACTTAATGACCTAAATTTTAGAAAAATTTATCACAATGAAGACATCTCTATATATTTAGGCTTGCATTTTGTACCTTATTTGGTCTCAACAAATTCAGGATGATAGTAATTTTCCTACAGGAGTTGATGATTTGGATAGTCTTTTATAGTCATGACACTAAGCAATTTTCTTTTATAACTGTTACTGTCTCCCACAGGCCATTTACATACACTGACAGGAAAATAAAGGTTTGGCTTCCACTAGGAAAGCGGTAGCTCCATCTCTTCAGTTATCAAGTTCCCTGAAGCTCACTTAATTCAGGTATCTATAAGAGGCAATAGATTTAATGTTTCTCAGAATAAGGCAATTAATGCAGAGCACTTTCACAGTGAGTGAAGTATCAGCATCCATTCTGTGGGATTTCAGTGATTCAAGAAGGAAAAGACCTCACTGTTAGATGCTGTTTAGTTTAACAGAATCTCTCGCACCACTTTCAAGAAGCTTTACTGCAAATACAAATCATAGCAATGAACTGTTTGACCAGTGCTGAAAACGACTGGCAAAGTGGATATGAAAGAGGCACACATTTGGAGAGGAGTTTGTAAGTGACAGTTTACCTATATGAGATCATCCTGCTGGAAGGCATAGAAATTAAATTGAAAGAAGCTGTAAGGGGGAGACTGGCAGGAAATGAAACAACAGCAAATACAAGGGATTATCAGAAAGAACAGACTTCCTTGCGAAAACAGTGGAAAAGGTATTAAACAAGAATTAATCATGTGCTATTCTATGCTACAGTATCTCCTATTCTTTGTTGGCCTGCAAAAATTTATTCTGCCTACAGTAAAACATATTTTAAAAATCCTGAAGAGTTAGTCTCAAATACTGAAGGCTAGCAGGAGTTCAAAGACAAAGCAAAGTGTCTAGGGGAGACAGCTAGAAGAGGAATGGTAAGAAAACACTGATAGCAGACAGAGCTGCACTAGGTGGAGGAATACTGACAAACGCTTGCAAGGAAATACACTTTTTTCTGTATTAAAAAGTAGTTACTAAATAATCAATCTCAAAACGTTTGGTGGCAAAAAAAAATTGGTACAGCCTGCATAGTCACAACTTCAAGCTGCATTCAGTGTAATTTCAAAACCAATAGCTCACACTATTAAACCATTCAGCACACTTCCAGCCAGGCTTTTGGGATTAAACCAATGATAACTGCAGAAGCAACAGACACAACATCGTTGCAGATGAGAACAAACAGTAAACAGCAACAGTGCTAACTACAGTAAGTAGTCAACACTTGAAAAAGCTTAACATAACTTCATAGCTAGCAACAGCCACTTAGAACATATCCATTAGGCATAAATTGATGTGCCTTAACACTGGAAATCCCAAATACTCCACCTGGACCTGTTGATGCTAAGAACTTTCAGAAATCCACCAGACAATGGAGAACAGATCTACAATTCATACTCTTCTTTTACAGAATAGTCTCTCTCATTGCTGTTTCATATTGAGACAGTGTCATTTGTTACTTGGTTTGCAGTTATGAGGGAAAACTAAAACAGATGTGGAAGCCTTACGATGCTGCATTTCTGTACACATTGCTTGGACCTGAAGCCAACAAAAGTTACTGATAGCATCAGCGGCAAGTTGTTATCAACAGGCAAATTAGAAACACAAGATATAATTTCCAGTAGAACAGAACAGGTTCAAGTTTTCTGAAATCACAGTTTTGCTGAAAGGTCCATGTGCTATAGAAGGAACTCCACACAGCCAGAGACACTGGACTGAATGCCAATGACCTTTCCAGCAAGATTAGAACCTGTAGCAAAGCATAGGTGCTGTCATTTCCTTGTGAAGGCAGCAGTATTTTTTGGAAAGAACAGGATCCCTTCTAGTTCTTACCGTTACATAGGTAATTAGTAAGGCTACAAAATGCACTCTTTTTTTCACTGTCAAGTCAAATTTCCAGCTCTTCAATCAAAATTCTCACAAAAGCTAGCCTCTGAAATGATCAGAAAGATTGTGGCTAGTTATTTATGTTTCTAATATTTTGAGTATATTCAAGTAAACACTGATGGAGAAGTATCAATTAGTGAACTGATGAAACAGCAAAAGAGGACTGTAAATATTCTCTGAAGGAACAGTTACCTGTTGTGATACAGTATGCTAAGTTCCTCTGAGATCTGTAAGGATAAGCACTTGTTCATCAGTGCTCCCAGGCATGTGTCATTCCCACAAAACCTGAATAAAGCCTTCCTTTTCATATCATTAGTTTAAGTATTTAATCACGATCAATTCTCACTTAATTTGAAGCATATCCCAAAAGATTTTTGAAATTATTATGATTATTTCAACATTATAAATCAGAAGAATGGGTTGAACAATGCTAGCAAGATGTCATCCTCATAGTTAACTACGCTGTTTGACCTATCTGAATGACACGATAGAAATGTTAACTGAAAAAATAAAAAACAAATACAATGGAACTATTCCTCAGAGTAATAGCAAAATTTAACAAATAATTTAGCAAAATGTAAATTTAACAATTTTGAATTATTCTGAGAATAATTGTTTTGGAATACAGAAACAAAAAAATGTTTGGACTTTATTATTTTTTTCTCTGGCACACTTTTTTTATTTAAAAGAGACTTTATTTAGGATGTTGTGAAAGGAAATGGCAGTAATTTATATTCAAAGTATGTCACCACACCTAATAGGTGTTCTAAGCTATCACACACACTATACACGTTTTCAGGAATCACTCTGGCTAGCAGCTATGATTGAGGGTTCAGAGTAAACATTTAGTGATAAAATGGCCTGTGTGACAGAAGTAAAGAAAAGCTTATTTAAAAAACTCACTTAGAAAAGAATGTGTGTTAGCTCAACATCAGATATGCCAAAAGCATCACACGCTTTCAAATAATCAGCATGACAAGCGCACCATAAACAGCAACAAGAACAGGATAGCTACCAATGAATCTGGATTCTAGATGGTCTCTCTTATGCTTTAGAATGAAACTATTGCAAAACAGCCAGGGATTGTCTCAC